TGGGGTAACGTTATATCTCCTGCCCAGTCTTTTGCTTTCATAGGGAGTGATTTTCCATGTGCAGGTTTGGGAAAATAAACTTACCCCAATACAAGTAGGGTGCCACGAGTTACCTGGAGTTTACCTGGAGAGAGTTCTGGGGGTCAACGCCCCCGGAAGTGCACTGAGAGACAACACAATAAGTGTCAGCTGCCTCCCACCATACAAAAGGGGATTATCAATAGACCTCCGGCTGTCTTCAAGACCCTGGCTGTCTTCAAGACCACTAGCTATCTTCAAGACCCCCCAGCTGTCTTCATGAAGGAGCCAGACAGATACATAAAGTCAGTACCTGACCAGCCAAGCTGTGGTTCATACGTTGAGTTACATGCGGCTAGCATTAAGAGCCTGATTGATGAGGTCCTGATCCACCATGAGGCCTGGTCACGGGGGTGTTGACATTCAGAATGCCCTCCAGTATACTCCAGGTATGACATACATGCTTATGCAAGGCATTTGGGGTCTGACTTAAGATTAAAGATACCTTAAAATAATTCTAAATTACATAAATGTTACTGATGAGTTACACTAATATAACAGAATGAAAAGACTGAGCCGGGCATTATATCCATGTTACCTAAACTTAGTTTTTTCCACTAAAGTATTGTTTTTTTTAGAAATAAAGAGACATTAGGTTCGAAAATATCTGGAGAAGAATTATTTCTTATATTGTGAGTGAGAGCAAAGTAGCATTTATGAAGGGATTCAGGGAAACCAGTTAGCCGGACTTGAGTCCTGGAGGTTGGAAAATACAGTTTTTGAGCTGATGGGGCACACCTCTGGCAAGACGGTGATGGAGTGAGTGGTGGTGAAAGTGTTTCTTCTTTTTTGGGTCACCCTCCCTTAGTGGGGATGACCAGTGTTGTAATTATGACACAATATCAGCTGTCAGATGCTGCCACAGCTGCCCTTGTGAGGTGTGTCCACAACTGCCCTTGTGAGGTGTGTCCACAGCTGCCCTTGTGAGGTGTGTCCACAACTGCCCTTGTGAGGTGTGTCCACAGCTGCCTTTGTGAGGTGTGTCCACAACTGCCCTTGTGAGGTGTTCCACAGCTGCCTTGTGAGGTGTTTCCACAATGCCCTTGTGGGGTGTGTCCAATGCCCTTGTGAGGTGTTGTCCACAAGCTGCCTTGTGAGGTGTTGTCCACAACTGCCCTTGTGAGGTGTTTCCACAGCTGCCCTTGTGAGGTGTGTCCACAGCTGCCTTTGTGAGGTGTTTCCACAGCTGCCCTTGTGAGGTGTTTCCACAGCTGCCCTTGTGAGGTGTGTCCACAACTGCCCTTGTGAGGTGTGTCCACAACTGCCCTTGTGAGGTGTGTCCACAACTGCCCTTGTGAGGTGTGTCCACATACTGCCCTTGTGAGGTGTTTCCACACTGCCCTTGTGAGGTGTTTCCAAGCTGCCCTTGTGAGGTGTCCACAGCTGCCCTTGTGAGGTGTTTCCCATACTGCCCTTGTGAGGTGTTGTCCACAGCTGCCCTTGTGAGGTGTTCCATAGCTGCCCTTGTGAGGTGTTTCCACAGCTGCCTTTGTGAGGTGTTTCCATAGCTGCCCTTGTGAGGTGTGTCCACAGCTGCCCTTGTGAGGTGTTTCCACAGCTGCCCTTGTGAGGTGTGTCCACAGCTGCCCTTGTGAGGTGTGTCCACAGCTGCCCTTGTGAGGTGTGTCCACAGCTGCCCTTGTGAGGTGTGTCCATAGCTGCCCTTGTGAGGTGTTTCCATAGCTGCCCTTGTGAGGTGTTTCCACAGCTGCCTTTGTGAGGTGTTTCCAAGCTGCCTTGTGAGGTGTTTCCATAGCTGCCCTTGTGAGGTGTTTCCACAGCTGCCTTTGTGAGGTGTTTCCATAGCTGCCCTTGTGAGGTGTTTCCACAGCTGCCTTTGTGAGGTGTTTCCATAGCTGCCCTTGTGAGGTGTTTCCATAGCTGCCCTTGTGAGGTGTTTCCACAGCTGCCTTTGTGAGGTGTTTCCATAGCTGCCCTTGTGAGGTGTTTCCACAGCTGCCCTTTGAGGTGTGTCCACAGCTGCCTTTGTGAGGTATCCACAACTGCTCTTGTCAGGTGTGTCCACAACTGCTCTTGTCAGGTGTGTCCACAACTGCTCTTGTCAGGTGTGTCCACAACTGCTCTTGTCAGGTATGTCCACAACTGCTCTTGTCAGGTGTGTCCACAACTGCTCTTGTCAGGTGTGTCCACAGCTGCTCTTGTCAGGTGTGTCCACAATTGCTCTGTATACATAATTCAGAAAATACCTGGTGACAGTGAAGGCATAAACACTGAAGTACCATCGTGCTCTGGTGTACAAATATTCAACATCGTTCACAGTTCTAGCTTGCTCTTCTAATGAACTGTGGTCATGCATTGCATTAAGATTTTGAGTACAGTATTGCAATCTTAATCCATTAACTTCTGTCACTGTTCACCTAGTAGTAAGTAGGTACCTGGGTGTTAGCAGACTGGTGTGGGTTGCATCCTGGGGACAAAATTAATCTAATTTGCCCGACCTGTGACTTGGAGGAACACTTTAGACAAACAGGTCCTTAACCTAGTTGCTCTGGTCCATACACAACAAACTTCTCAGTAACATTCAGTCATTCACGGTAAAGCTAAACACCATCACTGTGGCAAAAACTGGAATTACAAATTTATTTTCACTTTGTCCGATGATTCCATTTGTCAGGCCAATTTTTTGTCCGTAATGTACGAAATATGCTGAACAGGGGTCCATCAATTAGAAGTGTTAACTGTACGTTTATTTTTGAGGAAATCCGAATCTTGAGTTGATTTCCTGTGCGAGCGTTGAATTATGATCTTTTAGGAAAGTAGCTTTTGGTAGTGTTTTTTAACACTTCGGTAAGAATATTGACCAAGATACCTGATGTATGAACACTTTACTGCCCACGTTATTCATAAGTAATATATATTTAGAGACACTTGGCAGACATTTTGGCTCATCTTACAAATCATTTTTTCTGCATTATACAGGTAATGTAATTTACGTGTAAGAAAATATTGTCAGGCATAAAAGCCAGCCACTAGCATGTGGTGCATTTTTGACCAATATTGCATCAAAGGACCGACCAATATTGCATCAAAGGACCGACCAATATTGCATCAAAGGACCGACCAATATTGCATCAAAGGACCGACCAATAACCCAAGTTTCTAATCCAAATTGTGGGTAATTGTGAATTGTTGCAACAACTGTATTGTGACTCGACTCCCCAGATTATGTTGCACGTGCAACTGCAACAGTGCCGACAATGTTTTGGATGGCAGGAAAACCTGATGTAAATACTATAGAGCAAAGATATTTATATTCCTTTTAATAAAAACCTTGGAGCAAGGGGCTAGTAACCCTTTCTCCTGTATAAATTACTAAATTTAAAAAGAGAAACTTTTGTTTTTCTTTTTGGGCCACCCTGCCTTGGTGGGATATGGCCGGTTTGTTGGAAAAAAAAAAATATATAAACCTTGCTAGAAATATTGTATTTCCCCCGACATAAGAAAGTCAATGTTGTTGCTTATAAATACAGTGTATAATTACTGCGCTGTTTGAGTCATATAATCCAAAGATTGAGAATGGCTGTGTATATAATAATTCTTGTAAAAGGTACAATAAACTCTCGTAAGAAAGTCCTCTATACAGTGGCAGGTTTTGTAATGGAACTAGAAAAATGCAACCAAAATTTAATATCAGATATTATGAAGGTTTTAACCAGTTGTTGAATATTCAACTTTTTTAATGTAATTTTTAATGTAATTTATGAAACATAATATTGTATAGACGACCTTCATAAGAGAAGTGATTATTATAATTATTATTACTGATTATTATATTATTATTATTATTATTATTATTGTCATACTCATACACCACCTGGGGAATAGGAAGTGTTGGGGGGGGGGGGTAGTTATATTTGATCCATGGAGGGGGAGAGTAGATCTAGTTCCTTGAATCAAAAACCTTTCACTCTCAAGGCATCACCCTTGAACAGTAGTCCTTGAAAGGAATTCTGTGTATGAGAAACTGATAATGGACTCCTGATTCAAGGAATTGGAGCTGTCCTACCCTAAGATCAACCCCGATTAAATCCCATTTCCTCATGTTCTGTAATGACCCCTATGGGTTTAGTGCTTCTTGCCGATAATAATTAAAATAGTAATAGTAAGCAGTGACATACATTCCCACACTTGCGTTAATTATTAATGAAAGTGCGTTACAATTAAGTTTTACTGTAGAGTATTTATTAAGATTGACAGTTTTGACAGCAAGGTGCAGTAGGCAGGACAACCTGAAGAAGGAATCACATTCACCATCACTCACTCCGTACTTGGCTTTCACAAATTCACAGACGCTGAACTACATATTTTGTTATTAACACATCGGTAGTCACCCACCAAGGCAGGGCGGCCTGAAAAAGAAAAACTTTCACCATCATTTACACCATCACTGTCTTGCCAGAGGTGTGCTTACACTACAGTTATAAAACTGCAACGTTAACATCCCTCCTTCATGGAAGTACAAGATCTCCTCACTTACTGTAGCTTTTGTGTTGAATACAAGTTGAAGGAGCAGGAATGTACTAGCAAGAATTAGAGGGAGGGGGTGAAAGAGGGTTTTAAGTGATTGGGGCTCAAACATCCAGCATGTGTGCTTTAGGGTGACAGCAAGTTGTTTTGGGGATTTAACATGCTGTCAGCCTCTCAAGGAAGGTTCTTTGATGGTGAGGGGTTCTTGATCTAAGGAACTGAATCTTTGCTCTAATTCTTTGAATTGAATGCCTTTCATTTCTCCAGGGTTTAGTGCTCTCCCAATGAGTGTGTGTGATGTTGAGGAGTGGTGACCAAGGTGACATTTATGAAGGGTTAGTGATGGGAAACATGTTAGCTGGACTTTGAGTCAGGAGGTGGGAAATACATGTGCCTCACTCTGAAGGTATGGGAGAGTGGGAAACAATTGCCTCTACTCTGAAGGATGGGCAGAGGTAGGAAGGACAGTGCTGCACTCTGAAGGATGGACAGAGTGGGAAGGACAGTATCTACACCCAGAAGGATGGGCAGAGGTAGGAAGTACAGTGTCTACACCCAGAAGGATGGGCGAGGTAGGAAGTACAGTGTCTACACCCTGAAGGATGGGCGAGGTAGGAAGTACAGTGTCTAGCACCGAAGGATGGGCGAGGTGGGAAGTACAGTGTCTACACCCAGAAGGATGGGCAGAGGTAGGAAGTACAGTGTCTACACCCAGAAGGATGGGCGAGGTAGGAAGTACAGTGTCTACACCCAGAAGGATGGGCAGAGGTAGGAAGGACAGTGTCTACACCCAGAAGGATGGGCAGAGGTAGGAAGTACAGTGTCTACACCCAGAAGGATGGGCAGAGGTAGGAAGTACAGTGTCTACACCCAGAAGGATGGGCAGAGGTAGGAAGTACAGTGTCTACACCCAGAAGGATGGGCGAGGTAGGAAGTACAGTGTCTACACCCAGAAGGATGGGCAGAGGTAGGAAGTACAGTGGCCCTGTGGCCTGGTGGCTAAAGCTCCCGCTTCGCACACGGAGGGCCCGGGTTCGATTCCCGGCGGGTGGAAACATTTCGACACTTTTCCTTACACCTGTTGTCCTGTTCACCTAGCAGCAAATAACACCAGTGTTAGTCAACTGGTGTGGGTCACATCCTGGGGGACAAGATTGAGGACCCCAATAGAAATAAGTTAGACAGTCCTCGATGACGCACCGACTTTCTTGGGTTATCCTGGGTGGCTAACCTTCCGGGGTTAAAAATCCTAACGAAATCTTATCTTAGTGTCTACACCCAGAAGGATGTGTGAGGATATTGCAGTTTAGACACACACTGACAACTTAAAAAGTGACCAGAATGCAAGTGTCCTTCTTAAGATGACTGGTCTTGCCTCGGTGGGACGTAGTAGTATAGTAGGAAGCTTTTAGCTTAGAGAAGTATACAGTACTAGGAATTCCTGTATTGTTGTTGCAACTGCTCAATTGCACTGTGCCTCATGAGATGCTCCTAGAAGTGTTTAGTTAAATACTATTTTATTACCCTTCACAGGGGGGGGGGGAGGTGCCTTGATGCTGGCAAAGGGCTTGTGATCCGAGGATCCAGAGCCTGAGGGACACTTTTTCTAAACACGTTTATCAATTAGTGCCTCGCTTTCTCGTGTAATCCGGTACTTGTAGTTTAAGGTAGATTTTTTCATTCCATTATAGTTAAGTAGCAGTTATTGTCTTTTTTACAAGAGATAAAAGTGTCATTATTGGTAGAAAATAAAAAAAAAAAAGATTGTATTTTGTGTATGGGAAAACTGATTTTCACGAATCCAAATTTTTTTCCATTTTCGAATTATTTTTATACGAGTTTAATAACTAGTTCAACGAGTTGCATTTATTGTGAAACATGTTCAAGGTAACAGTTAGCCGCATACAATATTAAAATGTGCAGGAGAAAATGTGTCGACTAGTGAAAAAAGTCACTTTTAAAGTAACAACAGACTGCACTCATGACTCCACTCACAGTACTTGTGCCAATTATGTGTTCATTGTGTAATATTTTTATTAATTACTTTATAAAAAATTTAGCTTAGTTATGATTGATATTGTATACTAGTACATTGTATTATTATTGTATTTACAGTTATGATTGATATTGTATACTAGTACATTGTATTATCAATATTATTATATTTACATCAAAATCTGATGCACCTCAAAAATGAAAATTATACGTAATATATAAATTCTACATAGAATTAAGGAATATAGTATATATCAAAAACATCACTCAAAATAATGGGAAAACGGCAGGCAAAAGCTTTTGAAAATTGTTGTAATGACTTAGTAATGTCAGAAGCATGGAGAATAATTTTGACATTGTCAGCCAACATTAAGGTCAATGTTGTACTGACATGTGTTAAGAGAGTAGTAGTGACTTGCTGTGTTAGTGTCATCTGGATTATTGCACCCAACATTAAACTACCTTATTAGCTCACTTCTCGATTTTAATACAGGACTATCTTTCTGTCTGGAGCCCCGGACAGGGAGCGTTGGGCAGCTGCCTGGAGCCCTGGACGGGGAGTGTCGGGCAGCTGCCTGGAGGCCCAGATGAGTAGTGTCAGGCAGCTGCCTGGAGCCCCAGACGGGGCGTGTTGGGCAGCTACCTGGAGGCCCAGACGGGGTGTGTTGGGCAGCTGCCTGGAGGCCCAGACGGGGCATGTTGGGCAGCTGCCTGGAGGCCCAGACGGGGCGTGTTGGGCAGCTGCCTGAAGGCCCAGACGGGGCGTGTTGGGCAGCTGCCTGGAGCCCTGGATGGGGAGTGTTGGGCAGCTGCCTGGAGGCCCAGACAGGGAGTGTTGGGCAGCTGCCTGGAGCCCTGGATGGGGAGTGTTGGGCAGCTGCCTGGAGGCCCAGACGAGTAGTGTCGGGCAGCTGCCTGGAGCCCTGGACGGGGAGTGTCGGGCAGCTGCCTGGAGGCCCAGACGAGTAGTGTCAGGCAGCTGCCTGGAGCCGTGGATGGGAAGTCACTTAACATTGAACTCTTACACAAGTCTGAAGTAACACTGGCAAAAGTATTTTATGTGCTTGAAGTTGTTCTTGTAAACTGTTACTATTATAGTTTATGTTTCCTGCAACTAAAACTGTCACTTATGATGATGTTTTATGGAGAGTAACATTACAGGACAGTGTCAGTGTGTGGAGAGTAACATTACAGGACAGTGTCAGTGTGTGGAGAGTAACATTACAGGACAGTGTCAGTGTGTGGAGAGTAACATTACAGGACAGTGTCAGTGTGTGGAGAGTAACATTACAGGACAGTGTCAGTGTGTCCAGGACAATAAGGGTGACGGCTGGAATACTTGCTTGTGGTAATTATCCTTTTCCCTGGATTAAACCAGATTGTTTCATTCCCTCCCAGGCACAGTATGACCCATGCAGGCTTAGTGCTTCTCCATGAATATTATTATACTGCTAAGTGCTAAACCCACAAGGGTCACACAGTGCTGCTCCACACAAATATATTTAACAATTTGGTCAAGCACTATAAACTAAATTAACAATATTTTTTTTTTCATAATGTGTTGATTTTATTTAAAATTTTGATGTTATTTTGATTTTCTATTAAATCTGTGTGGAAAAGTTAGGTCCAATTTCTTGGATCAAGAGCCCCTCACCTTGAAGGAACCTCCCTTGAGGGGATTACATTTCTGTAATACTGAAATGTGTTCAGTTTTATGTTGATGTGACGGTCACAGTTATGTTAATGTAAGGTGTTTAATGTGTATTATATTTTGGTATTATAATCAAAACTAAGAACTATTATTGTTTGGTATCAAAATATTCACACAGTTATATATTCTATCAACTACCTAATTAAAAGAAAGTGACGAGGTTAATCGTAAGTGATTACAGAGACTACCTGTCCGCACCTGTCTTGTAGTGAGGACAACACTGTCCTCTGCACGTCTATTATTTCTATATTACATTACCTGAGGCTTCATATAGCTTATACGTATATAAAACAAACATTAAAGTATCAGAAAATATTACTTATTAGAGTGAATTTATGGGAGATCAAGAATGTTTGGGGGTATTGTTTATTGCTAACATATTTGTGTACTAAAACGTGTGTTAAACTGTGCTGTAAGCACAAGCACTGTAGTGTTATATTACCCTTCTCATATTACCTCTAAATAACTTATATACACAACCCACAAATTGAAGGTGAAGGTAGATTTATTTCAGTCCATCCTGAAGCATTAAGACTTTCTTTGTAATATTTTATATGATGTAAACCACACGTTGTAATTAATATTTTGTAATATATAAAGCACACATTGTACGCTTTGTGAGGAAATTAACATATTCATTTTGTTAGTCATAACTATGATCCAGGATGGACAAAATATTTACTTTCTTATATAATTGTTGGTTATAATTATTTTAGCCACAGTACTGACTTATTATTTTTTAACTTATATAATTTGAATAGTTCTCAGATTGAGTATATATTCTGGTAGTTTTTTTTTACAATGTTGTAGTTTGGTCTTGAGAGACTGATGGGGTATGTTTGTGGGCACACTATCATACTGTATTTTTATTGCAGCTTGGAAACACTGACTAATTTCATGGTTACAAAGAATTTTAATTTACACAAATAACCTGCACGTAGACTTACGACGACATTTTGGTCTGACTCGGACCACTGGTCACACACTAGTTAATGGCCTAAATCAGACCAAAACATCGTAAGTTCCTTCTATATGATGGTTATTTGTGTATTATTTGTTAAGCATATTTTGTCAATGAGAGACGTTGACAAGATGGTAATCTTGCATGTTAGGTTACAGTAATTGCAAATATTTCAATGCTGTTGTAGCTGAGGATTGAGGCTCTAGCATTCTGTGCTCAGACCCATGTGGGTTTACTGCTATATAAAAAATGGTTCCGGCTGTCAAGCTATGGAAGGTAATTCACCAAGTAGAACAATATTTGACGGTCTCGCTCACAGTGGAGCGGCAGATACTTTATAAAGCTCAACTGTTGTACATAGTTGTAATATCTTCAGAGAACTTTCACCCTATAGGTTACTCAGCACTCTTAGCAATCAAATTTTTTATGCAACGTTATTACATTCACGGGGAGTGCTAAACCCAAAGGATCATATAGCTGCTGGAGGAATGGAACAAATTCAGGTTTGATTAAAGGAATCCAAGCACGGATCCAATTCCTTAGATCAGGAGCCCCTCACCAGCTATGCAACACAATAGATAAAATTAACTAAACTAAAATGCATATCACAAATACTATCACATTTAGAATAATTATCAGTTTAAAAATACAAGAAATTATTGTTAAAAGTAGAACTTAAGTCTGGGTGAAGCTGCATTAGTTTTTCTGTCTCTTTATATCTTATATTATTGTATAACAATTTGTGAAGAACAAAAAACAATTGTCTTACATGGAATACAAATTAATTTTTTTGAACTGACAAGTGTAACATTTCCACAATTTTGTTAATAACAAAATGGCTTATAGATCTACACAAATGTAGGTGCCTTCTTGTGTTAAAATATTCACTTACAGCAAATCAGTGCTGTCCCTTCCCCTCATTAATTCTTTCCTATTATATATTAAGACGTTAACTTTCATAAGGTAGGACGAGTTGGTGGGATAAACCGCCGTGTCGGCACCGACCTGCAACTTTATATATACATTGTACTTCTAGTGAAGAAAGAATTTTTAAAAGCACATTTTAAAACTATTAACTTTCATTGGCTGATGGACTTTAATTCAGTTTTTAAAGATCCAAAGCTTCAGTGTGTAGCTTTATGTATTTAAAGTGTGTCGGTACTTGTGAGGTGGTCGTGTAATAATGTACGTTACTGTGCTCTAGTGCGTCATCCAATACTCCAAAACCATTAATTCTCATTTTCCCATCATACTCTCATACTAATAAAACTTCAAGTGAGGTTATGTAACATCAACCTCATTATTACTAAGATACCTTCAATAATGCTAGTACATGACCCTAACATGTTTTGTAGATTACAGTATGTGCACTTTGTAAATGAAATAGTCGTAATGTATTTCACCTGATGTCTAATAACAAATACTATTAATGTACTCAATTTTTATATCCTCTCATGGATTTCGCTAATTTTAAATTTTTATATTAAAAAAATTATACGTACTAGAGAGAAAAACTAGTAAATAAATCAGGGGTATTGTGCATCCTTTGATACACCTTTGATGAATTCCTAGAGTTTTTTTTTACTCTGAGCCTTGTCCTGGGTCAGGCTAGTCTGGTCAACTAGGCTGTTGCTGCTGGTGGCCCACTACCCCACATACCCATCACAGCCTGGTTGATCAGGCACCTGGTGAAGATACTTGTTCCAGCAGTGTTTCTGATATAATTATGGTAATTGTACCTCATGTACAAGACTAGTTGGTGAAATGTAAAGTATATACTACACCAGGATCATTACAGTCACTGGTAAACCAGTCAACAATACCTAAAATACTGATTGTCAACTGTGTATCATTAATGTTAATGTTAACTGTGTATATATATGTGGTTGGACGTCTCAGGGTGTGTACACTCCCCCATCTTAAAAAAAAAAAAAAAATACATTTCAACAAATTAGAAAAAGTGGATCAGATAACAATACAGGTCGGCCATCACTAATCTGGCAATAAGTTATCCGGTTCCATCAGTAATCCGGCACTAATTTCGGCTAGCATAATTTCAAATTTCATCATTATACTGACTCAGAAATTGTGCAGATGGTTGTAAATCCACAGCACAACAAGCCAGCGGAGGAGAAAGCCGTGATGAAAATGAGGAAGATGTAGCAGAAAGTCTCTATTGGTAGGTTAATTAAGTGTATTCTAACTGTAATCCAGCACACTACAGGTCCCACTGGTACCGGATTAGTGATGGTCGACCTGTGTTGCATTCTGGAGAGAGGAAGAAGTAGAGAGCATATCAAGGAAATATTCAGCCCCAGGGAATCAGAAGTCAGGAAAAAAATAACATCTAGAGCATTATTGATCATACATTTTAGGATTGTTATAGTGTATACTGCAACAATTGCAACAATGATCTAGCAACAAACCACCAGCTGGACAAACAGAGATGCATCTTAAACATTCTAAATACAAGAAACATCTGAGGGACACTTGAAAACAAATAAATTTAATACATTTATTTAGTATCACAAAAGTGCAGACTTCCAACCAATATAGTTAGCTAAAACAGGTGCAATACTTGAAACTTTTCTAATTTAGATGAAGCTTCATTAAACAATGAAACTTGTAAAATTTGATCACAGGTGGATGAGAATTGATTATTCCAAACCATATTTTCCAACAAGTTCTTCCACCTTGGCAATGTAAGCTTCCATTGCTGCATCCTTACTCATTCCTTTTCTGGAGTTCCAGGCATCCCACTTGGCCTTCCCTGTGAAGTCCAGCATACCTGGCCTCTCTGTCGAGTTTAAAAATAAGAGTTAAGAATAAATGCCAACACCATGGCTGGAACAATTCACAAATAACTCACCGTACCACGGGTGAGGTTCGAACCCGTGATCAGTCACGAAACTCCAGACCGACGCATTAGCCACCGGGTCAGCCAGCTACAATAAGATTCATCCAACTAGGTATATTTGTACACCAGTACACCTAGTTGGATGAATCTTAATGTGGCTAGCTGGCCCAGTGGCTAACACGTTGGTCTGGAGTTTTATGACTCTGATCGCGGGTTCTAACCCCACCCATGGTATGGTTTGTTTGCAATCGTGTCATTACGATTTCATGAGTCACAAATAACTCATTTGGAAGGAAACTTATGACCATTTTGGTCAGTCCTGGATCACTGTCGGGTCAAATGAAGGAAGTCTTGTTTAATGGAAAAAAACAATGTCAACTGTCACAGCAAAAATGGGACTGATAAAAGACTGCCAAGCCAGTCTATCAAGGTGTCAAAGATACAAAATAAATGACAATATTTTTCTTTTGGGGTCACCCAGTCTTCATGGGGAACTTTGATATGTTTCAAAGTTACACTGCTGGCACAAACATTTGTTGCAAGTTTTACTAAAGTCAGTTTTGATTGTTTTTCACTCATCTGAGGCAAAGTTACCCTGATTGTTGCACAATCATGTTATTGCAGAGTGGTCTGACAGCTTACATAACCACCTCAGCCATGCTCAGTATTATAATCAAAACTAAGTATAACACACACGGGTCACACAACGCTGTCAGTCACGCTGCTTGGTAACAATCTGAACCTCAAACTCCAAATTCACTTTTGTTCCATCTGAGTGATGAAAAATTTTATTTAGAACTATGAAATCATTTTTCTTATCTACAATGTTGTATCATTGGTTAATCTGAAGAATGTAATTATTAAACAACAATTTTAAAAAGTGATAATACTCGCTGATGAGGAATCATCATAAAATCATGCATCATATACGTAACACTGTAGATGGGGAAATATTGGGAGTCGCGGGAAATATTAGATCCATGGGGAGGGGGTCATACAGCGCCTTGGAAACAGGTGGCAGCTAGCTTCAAGAAATGTGAATAAAGTAATATTACAACAGGCACCAGGAAGCACTAAATCTGTATGAGTTATACTGTACAGTGGCAGAATGGGAGGCATCAGGTTTGGTTGGAAGAGGGGTGTTTATATCTAAGTGCTAAACCCACAAGGATTAGAGACGGGGGAACAAAAACATGAGCACTGCAGTAGGCCCACTGACCCATACTTGTAAGTCAAACCCTTCTCTTATCTATCAAACCTGTTTTTAAAACTTATAAAAGGTTTTAACTTCAATAACTCTACAAAGCCGTTCATTCCACTCGATAAATACCTAGTCACTACCTTCCTATATCTTTCTAACTCGAAATTTATCCTGTTTGAATCCAATCGAGTTTTCTTGCTTAACTGACCTTAATGACCTATTTACTTTTATGTCTGTCTTCCGCTTGTATCTTTATCTTTGATATATTGTATCTCTGGGAGTTTCAAGAGCTTTCTTACTCTCACAGTCTAGTCCTGAGTCTGGTACTTGCCCAATCAACCTGGCTGTTGCTGCTGATGACCCACTGGCCCACGTATCTACCACAGCCTGGGTGATCTGGCATTATATTTAAGCCTCATTCTCTCAAGAGAATAAGGAATTTATTTAGGTACAGATACACAAGTACAATATCATACATAATAATGTGTGATTTACCCATCAGAGTAACCAAGTCTGGCAAAAGTGACTTATTTCCTCCGGGGTCTTGTAATATCTTATGTAATGGAGGGTAATCAGATTTACAGTAACTTGTAAGGGAAGATACCTCCACTTTCCTGGATCAACACCATCTGAGCAACATCAAGACATATGTAACCCCTCTCCCTCATCCTTGAAGGGAAAACCTTGAAAAACTGAGCATTTGATAATTCATCAAAATAGCTGTACTAAACTAGTACAGTAAGGCCCCTTATAGGGAGGATCCTGGATGCCAGTGCTCTTGATCCAAAGAATTTACTCACACCTTATGGAAAGTCACTGACTTTTTGGGTTATGCTAGGTAATTTACAGATGCTAAATTACATATGATAACTGCACTTACATGTACCTGTACCTCTGATGAGTTTTCAGTTTTTCCGAGAGTAGTAAAACCACCAGACGAGCCTGACCACAGGCCAGGCTCGTCTGGTGCCTGGCCACGGCCTGGCTCGTCTGGTGCCTAAATGAACTGTATTAACTTTCCTTAGAATCAAATACGTACATGTACTTCTTTATTCTCCAGCACAGTTAAGCCTCATTACATTCCTGGAGAGTACCAAGTGTACTCAAGGTGTACAACATACCTGTGTTAATATCACCAACAGTAACTTGCTTGTACACGTACAAGCCACCTGAAGAGAGTACCAAGTGTACTCAAGGTGTACAACATACCTGTGTTAATATCACCAACAGTAACTTGCTTGTACAAGCCATAAAGTTCCTTCAACTCTTCGTCATTTGGTTTAGTTTTCAGCTTCTTCACCTTCTCAGCAGCTTCATTGAAATCCTGAAAGACAATTAAGAACCTTGATACAAAGTCACTTAAAAACTACAACAATGTTACTTTCAAATACAGCCTCTCCTTATTTAATGACGGAGATAGGGACCCAAGACCCTGTCGAATTTATTGCTAAAAGAGGAGCATACTATAATGGTAGTTGATTTGTGTCAACCATCTTTGATGTTGTTTTAATGTCACCTCTGCGCCATTTATAACATTTTTAATATACAGTGGACCCCGCATAACGATCACCTCCGAATGTGACCAATTATGTAAGTGTATTTATGTAAGTGCGTTTGCACGTGTATGTTTGGGGGTCTGAAATGGACTAATCTACTACACAATATTCCTTATGGGAACAAATTTGGTCAGTACTGGCACCTGAACATACTTCTGGAGTGAAAAAATATCGTTAACCGGGGATCCACTGTATTTTTAAATGTTCATACAGCAGTGTACTGTATATTGTAATAAACAGAATTGAGGAAACCAGCCCTAATATACATTATTTAGGTATAAATACTGGTCAGTGAGCCCAATGTAAGTCTGAGGCATCGGTAAACGAGTACGTACATCACTAAGTGAGGAGAAGCTGTACTGTAAATCAGGTGTACAAATACATATATACACAGTACTGTATATGTATATACATACAGTACTATGTATACATATTACTACATTTGGTAAGAAATTATATAGTGCACTGTACATATATTGCACAAGCTTGTAATATGTATAGAGAAATACTCAAGTTTTTCTTTTAAAATCTAGTAATTTAAAGAGAAGGGGTTACTAGCCCCTTGCTCCTGGCGTTTTAATCACCACCTACAACATGCACGGCTTACAAGGGAAGAATTCTTTTCCACTACCCCTGATGAAGAACAAAATACAGTGGACCCTCGACCAACGATGGCATCGATTAACGATAAATCTGACTAGCGATACATTTTAACGCAAAAATTTTGCCTCGACTAGCGCTTAAAAACCCGACCAGCGCTATTCGTTCCGTACCATACACGTCCACTTTGGCCTGAGCGCGCCTCACTTGTCCCTTTGGTGCCAGTGTTTACAAGCCAGCCAGCCACCGTGGTCGCTTCCAAACATACAACTGGAACATTTCATATTATCACAGCCTTTTTAGTGATTGCACCTGCAAAATAAGTCACCATGGGCCCCAAGAAAGCTTCTAGTGCCAACCCTACAGCAAAAAGGGTGAGAATTACTATGGAGATGAAGAAAGAGATCATTGATAAATATGAAAGTGGAGTGCATATCTCTGAGCTGGTCAGGTTGTATAATAAACCCCAATCAACCATCGCTACTATTGTGGGCAAGAAAACGGCAATCAAGGAAGCTGTTCTTGCCAAAGGTGCAACTATGTTTTCGAAACTGAGATCGCAAGTGATAGAAGATGTTGAGAGACTTTTATTGGTGTTGGATAAACGAGAAACAGATAGCAGGAGATAGCATCTCTCAAGCGATCATATGTGAAAAGGCTAGGAAGTTGCATGACGATTAATTAGAAAAATGCCAGCAACTAGTGATGCGAGTGAATTTAAGGCCAGCAAAGGTTGGTTTGAGAGATTTAAGAAGCGTAGTGGCATTCATAGTGTGATAAGGCATGGTGAGGCTGCCAGTTCGGACCACAAATCGGCTGAAAAATATGTGCAGGACTTCAAGGAGTACATAGAGAGTGAAGGACTGAAACCTGAACAAGTGTTTAATTGTGACGAAACAGGCCTGTTTTGGAAGAAAATGCCAAGCAGGACGTACATTACTCAGGAGGAAAAGGCACTCCCAGGACATAAGCCTATGAAAGACAGGTTTACTCTTCTCATGTCTGCCAATGCTAGTGGTGATTGCAAAGTGAAGCCTTTATTAGTGTATCACTCTGAAACTCCCAGAGTGTTCAGGAAAAACAATGTCCTCAAGGCTAATTTGTGTGTGCTGTGGAGGGCAAACAGTAGGGCATGGATCACTAGGGACTTTTTCTATGACTGGTTACACCAAGCATTTGCCACCAATGTGAAAAATTACCTAATTGAAAAGAAATTAGACCTTAAGTGCCTCCTGGTGTTAGACAATGCCCCTGGTCATCCTTCAGACTTGGCAGAGCGACTTTCTAGGGACATGAGCTTCATTAAGGTGAAGTTTTTGCCTCCTAATACCACTCCTCTCCTGCAGCCCATGGACCAGCAGGTTATTTCCAACTTCAAGAAACTGTACACAAAACCATACCCCCGGCCGGGATTGAACCAGCTAGTGCGACGGGCTGGAGTTTTGAGACTCTATGACCGCGGGTTCAATCCCAGCCGGGGGTATGGTTTATTTGCAATCGTGTCATTACGATTTCTTAAGTCATGTACACAAAAGCTCTGTTTGAAAGGTGCTTTGTAGTGACCTCAGAAACTCAACTGACTCTAAGAGAGTTTTGGAAAGATCATTTTAGCATCCTCAATTGTGTAAACATTATAGGTAAGGCTTGGGAGGAAGTAACTAAGAGGACATTGAACTCTGCTTGGAAAAAACTGTGGCCAGAATGTGTAGACAAAAGGGATTTTGAAGAGTTTGAGGCTAACCCTGAGAATCCTATGCCAGTTGAGGAATCCATTGTGGCATTGGGGAAGTCCTTGGGGTTGGAGGTTAGTGGGGAGGATGTGGAAGAGTTGGTGGTGGAGGACAATGAAGAACTAACCACTGATGAGCTGCTAGATCATCTTCAACAGCAAGAGGCCACACCTGAGGAAACTGCTTCTGAGGAGGGGAGAGAGAAATTGAAGAAGTTGCCTACTTCTAAGATTAAGGAAATGTGTGCAATGTGGCTTAAAGTGCAAACATTTTTTGATGAAAATCACCCTAACACAGCTATTGCAAGCCGTGCTGGTGACTATTACACTGACACTGTTGTGAACCACTTTAGGAAAGTCATAAAGGAACGAGAGGTACAGGCCTCTATGGACAGATATGTTGTGCAACAGAAGTCTAGTGACTCTGAAGCTGGTCCTAGTGGCACTAAAAGAAGGGAAGTAACCCCAGAAAAAGACTTGCTGCCTCAAGTGCTAATGGAAGGGGATTCCCCTTCTAAACACTAACACCATCCACACTCTCCCCTCCTCCCATCCCATCAATCATCACCAGATCTTCAATAAAGGTAAGTGTCATGTAACTGTGCATGTTTTCTTAAGTTTGTGTGTATTAAAATTAATATTTCATATGGTAAAAAAATTTTTTTTTCAATACTTTTGGGTGTCTTGCACGGCTTAATTTGATTTCCATTATTTCTTGTGGGGAAAATTAACTTGACTAACGATAATTCTGACTAACGATGAGCTCTCAGGAACGGATTAATATCGCTGGTCAAGGGTCCACTGTACTTGTATATACACAGTGGAACCTCGGTATACGACCAGCTTCCTACTGGAACAAAGGTCAGCACTGGACCAAACAAATACGACCTCCCAGAACTTCGCTGTAAACTATTTCATGTTTCTTCGCATTTTTTGGTGACTTTTCTTTTGTATTATTTGTACAAATAAGTCACCATGGGGCCTACCATGATTTTTTTTTATATTTTATTTAAAATACACTACATTACAACAATGGACCCTGTAACCAAGGGTGAAATACAATTAAATCATAAAACATACAATGTTGCACCATACCGGCATACACAGTTTACCTATAACCCAATACAGTGGACCCCCGCATAACGTTGGCATCGCATAGCGTTAAATCCGCATAGCGATGCATTTTATAGCTAAAATTTTGCCTCGCATAGCGCTAAAAAATTCGCTCAACGCGATTCGTCCGAGACGCATCCATGCGGCCTGAGCCAGCCTCACTTGTTCTGCCAGTGGCATTGTTTACAGGCCAGCCTCCGCGGTAACATTCAAGCATACAATCGGAACATTTTGTATTATTACAGCCTTTTTATAGTGATTTCACCTGAAAAATAAGTGACCATGGGCCCCAATAAAGCTTCTAGTGCCAACACTACAGGAATAAGGGTGAGAATTACTATGGAGATGAAGAAAGAGATCATTGCTAAGTATGAAAGTGGAGTGCATGTCTCCGAGCTGGCCAAGTTGTATAGTAAACCCCAATCAACCATCGCTACTATTGTGTCTAAGAGAACGGCAATCAAGGAAGCTGTTCTTGCCAAAGGTTTAACTGTGCTTTCGAAACAGAGATCGCAAGTGATAGAAGATGCTGAGAGACTGTTATTGGTGTGGATAAACGAAAAACAGATAGCAGGCGATAGCATCTCTCAAGCGATCATAAGTGAAAAGGCTAGGAAGTTGCACGAGAATTTAATTAGAAAAATGCCTGCAACTAGTTGTGATGCGAGTGAATTTAAGGCCAGCAAAGGTTGGTTTGAGAGATTTAAGAGGCATAGTGGCATACATAGTGTGATAAGGCATGGTGAGGCTGCCAGTTCGGACCAAAAAGCAGCTGAAAAATATGTGCAGGAATTCAAGGAGTACATAGAGAGTGAAGGACTGAAACCTGAACAAGTGTTTAATTGTGACGAAACAGGCCTGTATTGGAAGAAAATGCCAAGCAGGACCTACATTACTGAGGAGGAAAAGGCACTCCCAGGACATAAGCCTATGAAAGACAGGCTTACTCTTCTCATGTGTGCCAATGCTAGTGGTGATTGCAAAGTGAAGCCTTTATTAGTGTATCACTCTGAAACTCCCAGAGCATTCAGGCAAAAGAATATCCTCAGGGCTAATTTGTGTGTGCTGTGGAGGGCAAACAGTAAGGCATGGGTCACTAGGGACTTTTTCTATCTGGTTACACCATGCATTTGCCCCCAATGTGAAAAATTACCTAACTGAAAAGAAATTAGACCTTAAGTGCCTCCTGGTATTAGACAATGCTCCTGGTCATCTTTCAGACTTGGCAGAGCGACTTTCTGCGAACATGAGCTTCATTAAGGTCAAGTTTTTGCCTCCTAATACCACTCCTCTCCTGCAGCCCATGGACCAGCAGGTTATTTCCAA